ATAGAAAGAAAAAGAGGGGACAGAAAATGCAAAATATGTCTCTCCCGCTCTCCCTCCCGATCTCTCTCTCTCTCGCTCTCGATCCCTCTCGCTCTCGATCTCTCTCACGCTCTCTCTCTTTCTCTATATCTCTCTCTTTCTCTCTCTCTCTCTCTCTCTCTCTCTCTCTCTTTATCTCTCTCTCGCCTTCTTACGCCCTCTCTCTCTCATTGTCCTCTCATATTTCTGCTAAAATGTCGTGATTGTTTTGATCAAAGATTATTGCTTCAAGAAATGTGTTACCAAAACATAAATCTAAAAACCCCCTAAAACAAAATCGTCGATCCGTCGCTAACGCCGGAAAATTTTTGATGTCAAACCTAACGTTTTTCGTATAAATCCCCAGACCTCCAGACTTGAGCATTCAAATTCAAAAATGCGCGGTCTTCTCGTCGTCCTGCTGCTCGTTACCGTAGCCTTGGCTGACAGGCCGCCGTGCATCGGCATGGGCTGCCCCAGACGCACGGTGTGTTTTATAAACGGCCGGGCTCTAGGGTTTATCTATTTTTGTCAACATGGTGCTTGCGAAAACTCTTTACATTGAAATTTATTTTATTTAGTTTCCTCCAAAAACATCTCCACCGCACGATGTCGCCAGCGACTTGGGCGGGATCTGCAAGGTGCAAGCCGATTGCGGGTCGGGTCAGCGGTGCCACGAAACGCTGCAGCGATGCGTCGGGCAGTGCTATCCACTCAGATGCCCGTGATTGGGAATAAATATCAATTTATTGTAATAGAAAGTGAGATTTACAACACCTCGAAATGCATATCGCAAAATTCCCGTTTTTCGCAATTTGGTTTTTCGACAGTAATTTTTGGAAAACGCCAAGGTCAGTAAATTCCACTACAGCTCTGGGAAATAGCAAAATTCCGCTTGAAGAAGCTGTTTTTCCTAAAAAAGGTGTTTTTCGCAAAATCAACGACCATCGCAACCAAATTTGGTAGCAAACGCAAAACTCTCTCGCGCGCTCTCTCTCTCTCTCTCTCTCCCTCTCTCTCACTCTCTCATTTTCTCTCTCTCATTTTCATTCTCTCTCTCGCGCTCTCTGGCTATCTCTGGTTCTCTCTCTCTGATTCTCTGGCTCTCCCTTTCGTTTATCCTTCTCTCTCCCTCTTTCTTTGATTTCTCTCTCATTCGCTCGCCCTCTCTCCCCCCTCTCGTTCTCTCGCACACCTTGCAAAACCTAATGCGGCTCTCACAGTTGCCATTTCACTTGTAAATCATCGCGTCTTGCGTCAAAACCAGAAAATCGCAGAATAAATTTAAAAATGCTAAAACTTCAACCCTCAGTCTTTGACCTTTCGTAGCGGTGACCTATAAATACCGGGACGCTGGCCGTAACTCCACTACAACATGCGTACCCTGCTCGTTCTCCTATTGCTGATTGTTGCTGCCTCAGCAGATGGTTGCAAGGGTGGTCGCCTCCCCGAATGCCCCCGGGGCCATTAGGGTATCCATTTCAACAAGGCGAAAAGGTAGGGCTTCTCTAAAAATCTCTAAAGGCAGGACGTTGAAATTTCAGAATGTCGAAATTCAGAATGTCGAAATTTACATATGATAATTTTCCCGGAAAAACCCCGAATACTATCCAAAAAAATTCGACATTTTGGTAGCAATTCCCTTGTCGTTACTTCTAAACTTCAATTCAAACATTAAAATTTAAAGGCAACAGACAAGCAAGTGATTCATAGCTAGACTAGACAACTTCTGGGTTTCAGGACAACTGGCCCTGGAGGGTGAATAAATCCGATGGGAAAGGCGGCAAGCCGAAGGTATAATTTTCTGTAATGATCTCTGCTAGCCTGCCCTCACAATTCCCATATGGTCTCTGCTAGCCTGCCCAATCTCAGGTCGAAGATCGTCGCGAAAAATGATGGCAATGACGGATCATAATAATGCCATTGTAATAAAGCTATATACTAATTTTTAAAGGGGTCGTGACCGGAGATAACGCACTACATCTCTTATTCTCTCTCTATCTCATGCTATTTCTCTTCCTCTCCTTCTCTCTCTATCTCAGGCTCTCGCGTTCTCGCACTCTTAACTCATGCTCTCTCTCTCTCTCACTCTGTTACACTCTCTCCCACGCAATCTTTCTCTTTCTCTCGCTCTCTCTCTCTAGCTTTCTATCTCTCTCTAGCTCCTGCTCTCCCTCTCTCTCTTTCTCTAGCCCTGCCATCGATTTTTGAAATTCATTGCCGGCCCTCCAGACGCTTAGAATTTCAAATCTAACGCATAAATTCCACGATCGAATCTATGGGATATAACAAAAAAATGGGCCTTGTCGCTCGGAAAATATGAGGGCCCTCTTCTTGCTATTTATTGCCTTGGCTACAGTAGTTTTCGCCAGGCCGCGGGGCGGCACCTGCTCGGTACGCCCCTGTCCGAAGGAGCCGGTGGTATGTTAATTTTCTGAAGGCAAAGGAGGAGAGAGAGAGAGAGAGAGAGAGAGAGAGAGAGAGAGAGCTAGGGATTGATTACACATCATTTTTAGTTCTACCCTACGCTGAACAAACTCAGGAACGTAGAAGGGGAGGTGAGCGTCGGCCGCAGATTCTTTTGCATTTTCGGGGGGACTTTTTCTTAGGATCGAATTTTTAAAATATAAATAGTGAAAGTGTTTTTAAATGATTTTTTACTATTCCTAATCGTGAAATCTTTGCAAAGTGGGTTTAAAGGTATCGAAAATATCAAATTTTAGACCGAAAATGACCAAACCAATTTGAACAAAATGTCGATTTGTTTTTAAAGTTTTTAGATAGTTTTCCTAGTTTAAATGTTTTTATTAACTACTACTATTACTACTATTAACTACTAAATTATTAAAACACTTGTTTTTAGGTTACTAGGCATTTCTCGATTTATACAAACATTTCGATCCGATAGGAAGAACCAAACGACCGCAGATCAGATAGAAAAATTTCAGGGCCACGCGTCGCGCGCGAAGCGCCAGGGTGCCGGCTGTTCGGTGGATGCGGATTGTGAGGATGGGATCGCCCCTCTACGCGCACAATAAATTTTTTGCCATTCGATGTTATCGTGAACAGCTGAAAACGCGAAAACGCAAAATCCCTACCCCCATTTTCTTTGATTTACGCCCCCGATCGGGCAAAGCACAAACCTCCAAACCGCTCAAATCCTCGTAACCGAAAAATTTAAACGCGAAAATGTGTAAAAACGTTCTTTACGACCCATTAAAACGAACAGAAATGGTTTTCAAAACGGAATATAAGGAAAATCGCGCCTGCAAATTCTCATTCGAAACAATGAGGAGTGTCGAAACTTTCCTAGGGAATTCCATTCCCAAGGAGTTTCGAGGATTTTTGTATGGGCGCCCAAAGGTTGGCAAGCTGCCAAAGGTCCCACCGCGATGATCGCTACCGTAGCGGGCTGTGCTAGCGCCCTCCCGGGGCTCTCTGGGATTATCGCACTTACGATCCCCCGCTGCCCGAAAGGGCGTTGCGGCCACTCCGTGCTTTGCATGGTTTGGTGAGAGTTCTGTGAGCCGGGGAAGTGGTTTACCACCATCCGGGGCACAGTAAATCTTTGGCGTATTGCAAACTTTCGACACCATTCCCGAACTCGCTTCTCCTTGTCTTCGACACTTTGTATTTCCTCCCCGAGACCCCTTTTTACCTGCGTCTATATTCTGTGACACTGTTCTCAATAAACCTTGTTCTCAAACGTCTTTCAGGTCTCCAGTATACGCATTTAGACACTGCCATTTGAACACCGATCGCGCGCTCGTAGTTTAGATTAGGTTAGGCGTCGTAGATTAGAGGGTGGCAACCTTCCCTTCCCTTTTATATATTTCCGATTTACCATTTTACACTTTCGGAAGGGTTGGGGCCTTTATTCTTTCGACATGATGCGTCGGCCGATGTGATCACCGGGTCACAAAGCCACTTTTCATGATGCTGGAGACATTCTTATGAAGAATAGACACTCGTAGACGAGCCCCGACACCTTTTTTCGGCGACAAGACTGCCGGCCAGCAGTCGTTTCAAGAACGATGGACACCAGCGGTCTGCCTGTTCGCGACGGGCACTTTCCCTCTCGCGGAGCGTGTTGAACACAGCGTTGATGCCTTGGGTTCACTGAGTGCCCATGAGAAGGTTGCGACACCTTGTCCAACTCTTCTAAGAAGCCAGGAAGCGACAACTCGAGCTCATGGATGCGGGGCCCCCGATGCGAGACGCCGGTGAGGGTGATGACGCATGTGGGCGCGATTGTCATGGAATGGTGGAAAGGATTGCCGTTCAACGTTCAAGAAACTCGTCTGAAAATGGATGATGGTGGCATGTAGATGCAGAATAAAAAGGTAGTTTTCGTAAATTTCTTTTTCTTTACAGGAAGAAGCGAGCTTTTGGTTGGTTTTCGATGGTTGCATCCAATGGTTGCTGTGTTCGGGCGGGCGCGACAACTACTTGCCCGTTGACTGAAGCACTCTCCACCGGCCAGCGACACCGATGTGGCTTCAATGCTCGCAAGAAGACGGCGGGCGACAAGCGCGAGCAGCTTTTCGACACCAGCAGCAGCGCAAATGGGCGACGATTCGACTTCACTTCATCCAAGACGTTCAAGTTCGCCTTCACGACATTTGAAGCCATGGTTTGCCTGTTTGCTGCCTCGACTCGACACTGACTGCCCCCCAACGAGGTGTTTATGGCGCCAGCTGCCTTGAGAAAGCTGCTGCGTGTCAAATTCACTGGCCAAAGTACGTAAGCACATTCTCCTCTTTCTTTTCAACATTTTTTACGCCCACTTTTCGGAGCTTGTGCCGAAATTTCTCATTCAACCGCGGCTTCGGCCACTGCCTTACGACACCGGCCCCTCGGCCACCGCCTTTCGACACCGGCTTCGGCCACTGCCTTACGACACCGGCCTCGGCCACCCCTTTTTCCGACACCGGCTTCGGCCACCGCCTTACGACACCGGCTTCGGCCACCGCCTTACGACACCGGCCTCGGCCACCCTTTTTTTTCGACACTGGCTGTTTTTGCCGCGCGACACTCGCCCGTTTGAAGAAAGAAGCCGTCGACTCTACACTCATCTACTCGCGCAATTGATGTGGCGCCGCGGACTGATGTTTGCCCATCAAGCTTCAACGTGTTCATGATGATGTGACGATGACACCGCACCTTCTACTTCTATGGAACGATGTTGGAATTGTAAAAGTAAGGTTCTTTTCGAAGTTTTGAGTAAGCCTTCTTACGATTCGTCGCTATAGTTGGCCAAAATGATTCGAAATTTTTGAAATTTCGTTTGTTAGCTCGAAAAACGTTCTAAGGTCTAGACCGCGAACTAATTTTCGAGTGAGCTTACGCTTTTTCATATTTCGTCTTGTTTTCTCAAAGTTTTGATTTGAACTTTTACTTTTCATTTCTCGCGACAACAATGCTTTACCCTATAGAGCTTGCTCTATTTTGTAAAGCATCTAGACACATGGCTTGCATGCGACATCGCTTCTTCAACGACACTTGCTGCTGCCCAAGCTGTTCACCATCAATGCTTTCACCGCCGGCTTCCGCTTTGCCGCCCAAACTCCACCGTCTGCTGCGTAGACATCAAGTCATGCGACATCTTCATGGCACATGCTCAACATCAATGCTAGCGACAAAAGAGATGAAGCACATCAAGTCAACAACAATGTGATTCGACATCAAGCAAAGGAGATCACAAATCTTTTTGTCTCATGTTGATTCTTTACATTGCTCTCATTTGACATGTCTTCCATATCTTCACATCCTCTCTTCAAGGCTCACTGATGCTTGCTGTTTCAGAAAACTCGAACAAGCGCAGCGACATGCCCCGCAAGTACATCACGGCCAAGCAGCTGAGCGACATCCTGGACGAGTGGGAGACACTGCGCGCCCAGACTACCGGTTTGCTGCTGGACGATGAACAAATGGAGAAGCTCGTCGACGACGCGCCGACGCTCAAGGACTACAAAGTGGATGCGCGAAGCCTCAAGGGAAAGATCAAGTCAAGGATCGACGCCATCAACCTGGCGATGAGCAAACGCGACACCGACCCAGCAATGGACCGCGCCATCATCGACCACGACGGCGAACAAGTGTTGCAAGACATGATCGACTACGGTTCTCGTCTCGACACCTGCATCAAAGCGGCCTACAGCGGTGGCGTCTTGAAGGAGGAAGAACCGTCTTCCGACTCCAACGATGATATGGCTGACGGCAACGACTCGGACGCTGCTGACCCAAAGCTCGAGGAGCCGCACAACGAGGACGAGCGTAAAGCTGTGCCCCTTGAGACACCCGACATCGATGATCCCGACACTCGCTCGAAGGCCACCCTTGCCGGACTGAATTTTCTCATCAAAAGTTTCGGTGAAACACAGGAGCTGAACAAGAAACAACGTGAAGCCGACTTGAAGCTGCAAAGCCAAGAGCGTCGTGAGCATGCTGAACTCATCCGCGGCATCAACAACCAGATCAATACTCTGGACGCCGTCATGAAGAAGCAACTCTACGACTTCCAAAAGCGACTCTCCGATGTGGAATCGAAACTTCGCGACACCACGGCCACCCAGCCTGCCGTTGTTGCCCCAACTACGCAGATCGTCGTCCAAACTCCGGTTTCCGACAACAACACCACTTCGGCCCCCTCAAGTTCGAACAATGCTGATGAGGATTCGACACAAGCCGATGAGCCACTCCTTGCGTGTGAACTCGAGATGCTGAAGACGATCCCCGCCAACATGCTGAAGAGCCCCGGCGGTCTTCATCTCTTCGAACAGTTCAACTCCGAAGAATCGCGACAGAAACGCCTCGAATACCGCGGTGCCTACTTCGTCCTCCAGAATGAAGGCAAGCACGAGAAGTTCGATGGCACCGGTGAATTTCGTTCGGCATGGATGCGCTTCCTCGTCAAGGCCAATCAAGTTTGCGTCTCCGATGGTGAAAAGCTGGATCTTTTGGTCAACTTCCTCACCGGCGACTTGAGGCGCACCATCCGCACCTACATCATGACAACTCGTGGCCTGTTTGATGCTGTGCTTCAGCTTTTCGACTCCTATTTCCACGCCGCTGATCGACAGATACTGGCTGTTGAGACGATGCTCGACCTGGACCCCGTCACCGAGGACTTCCAGGATCTCGACAAGTTCTTCGCCACCCTGCGACAAGCCGCCAGCGAATTGAAGCACAACAACTGCAATGAGGCTCGCACCAAGCAAGACATCATCCACAAGTTTCCGCCTGTTGTTCGACAATCGTTCCTCGTCGCCTACCCTGATGCGATCTCCAAGCTCGACATCTACGAGATGGTGCTCAAGCTGCAACAACACACTCGAGGCTTCGCGACAGAGCGCAAGATTGAACTCTCGAAGTACCGCATCCAAGCGAAGACTACGATGTGCCCGTTCTGCCAAGAGAGGGGACATCGACCCGGAACTTGCAAGATGTTGACTGGCAACCAAGTTCAATGGAATCTCGTCATGACTCAGGGTCGTTGCTACATCTGTTTAGAGGCCGACCACGACATGGCTCGCTGTACTGGTGTCAAGTGCTCCCGCTGCGGAGGCCCTCATCACACCAAGTTCCACCAGCTTCGTGAAGGAGCTCAGACGAATCAGCGCTTCAACACGAATGCGCCCACGTTGAACGGTCGTCCAAACTTCAACTCGACCCCGATTCGCCAGCAGACCGACACCTTCACTCGCAACAGCACGTCGCCGCAGACAAACGGTACAACTGCTCAGCAACAATCGCCTAACAAGCCTGTGACACCAGTCGTTGCCAGCACGCCGAACTGGAACCAGCGACACAATCGAAGCGGCCATACACATGTTCGTCCAAACGACACTCGCGCCAACGCTGCAATCGACACCGCGGCCGAAGATGATGATTCCAGCGACACGGAAGACGATATTGAGATCGGAGAGGACGGCTACCCCATCGTGACCTACCCCTACGGTCTCGACTTTTTTCGTGCCTCCGCCGACGACGGTGCTCAGCATTAAGCCCGCTTCCTACCTTCCAAGTCGCCAACAGAACTCACAGCTTCAAGTTCTTCAAATCCCACTTGTCAACCCAGCCGATCCTCTTCAACACATCCAAGTCGACGCTTTCCTCGACACCGGTTCTACCAAGACCTACATGAGCCCCACTCTCTTCGAGGCCTACAACTTCCCCGAAATCGGGACAGCCGTGCGCACAATCCACACCTTCGCCGGCTCCATATGCCCCGAGGTTCGATTGTCCACAATCAACATAGAGGGAGTCGGAGAGTTCCCCGTCGATGTCACCACACTCGCCGACGTCGACATCCGAGTGTGGAAACTCTGCCGAGCGGATCGTGATTTCCTCCAACACATGGGCGTGAAACCGACATACCACGTCAAGCGCAACCACCGCATCACCTCGCGTCTTCTGCTTGGTCAAGACATTCTACACTTCCTTCGCGACACTTCATATCAGCCCGTGCAGTTACCCTCAGGCCGCATGCTTGACCGTTACATATTTGGCTACGTCATCAGCGGCACCAACCACGTCAAGAACGCGCTGATCCAGGACCTCAACGATCCGAAGTATCAGGGCAAAGCATTTGCCCTACCCTACGGCAGCCAGACTTTTGTCGCGATCCACAACGGCAACGAGTACGCTGGAAACGACACGAGCACTTCTCTCGGATCTTCCGCCACTCGACCTCCGAATAGGAAGCCGCATCGACAAGCATTCGACAACGGACTCAAGCGGATTTTCACATCCGAAGCGACCATCCCCTGTGGCCTGACGACAATTATCAACATGGCAGACCGTGCTGAAGACGCTACCGGCGACACATCTGATTCGGAATCTGAGACATCCGAAGGCGACGAGGAAATCGTTACGCGGTTTGCCCACAACTTCTCGTCTTCGAGCGACATGCGTGACAAGCCGCACATCTCGCGACACCAGGCATTCAGCAAGTGAACCGCCCCATTTCTACTGCTGTCGTGCAAGTAGGAGGTTTCGTGAGAGGATTTCCCGACACCACTCCTCCCAACTGCACTGTGACAATTTTCCGACATCATGACAGCACAAGGTCCCCCGGTACCTTTTGGACAACTACAACAACAAGCCTCTCTGTGACGCGTACAATCAACATGCTCGACTTCATCTCCACACCAGTGATGCAAGCCGCTCCGCTCGTGCCACAAGACTGCGATCAAGCTCGACATCTGCCAATAAACCGAAAGTAAGCTTCCCCACCCTTTCCCCGTTGGTCCGGTGGGAGTACGGGCTCTTTAGAGCCGGCCAACTTTTTATCATGTCAGTGGTCCCACCCCCTAGCTTTCAATTAACATTTTTCACCCCTCCCGTTCCCACAGTGCTCCACGATATCGTCCTTGTTTTTTGGTATTATCGGTCCCCACGTTTCCCCCAGGCCGGGAGATCGAGTTCTCAAATTCTGGGCCGGCCGCGAGGCTCCCACTCAACCTCCTACTACACTAGCCACGCTCTTCGGGGCGGCACTTTCGGCTCTGCGCGGGCCGGGAGTGTCGAAACTTTCCTAGGGAATTCCATTCCCAAGGAGTTTCGAGGATTTTTGTATGGGCGCCCAAAGGTTGGCAAGCTGCCAAAGGTCCCACCGCGATGATCGCTACCGTAGCGGGCTGTGCTAGCGCCCTCCCGGGGCTCTCTGGGATTATCGCACTTACGATCCCCCGCTGCCCGAAAGGGCGTTGCGGCCACTCCGTGCTTTGCATGGTTTGGTGAGAGTTCTGTGAGCCGGGGAAGTGGTTTACCACCATCCGGGGCACAGTAAATCTTTGGCGTATTGCAAACTTTCGACACCATTCCCGAACTCGCTTCTCCTTGTCTTCGACACTTTGTATTTCCTCCCCGAGACCCCTTTTTACCTGCGTCTATATTCTGTGACACTGTTCTCAATAAACCTTGTTCTCAAACGTCTTTCAGGTCTCCAGTATACGCATTTAGACACTGCCATTTGAACACCGATCGCGCGCTCGTAGTTTAGATTAGGTTAGGCGTCGTAGATTAGAGGGTGGCAACCTTCCCTTCCCTTTTATATATTTCCGATTTACCATTTTACACTTTCGGAAGGGTTGGGGCCTTTATTCTTTCGACAAGGAGCCTCTCGTTGCTAATCCTTGTCTTGGCTACGGTACTCGCCGTGCAGGTCCGTTGTATTACCGTATATGAATTACCGTATTTACAAATATTTATATAGTTTTTAATTTCAATTAAAATTCTCATTTTTTAAATTTTACATTGCATTTAAAATTTTTTACCATACATTTTGATTTTTGCAAAAAAATTTACCTCACGGTCATTTTCTGTAGTTATTTTGCTAAGAAAAGCGCGTGAACGTTTTTACGTAGGCTTTATCGATTCGGTCGCAGCGGCAGTGCGATATCTGCGCACCGGTGGGTTTAAAGATCAAAAGAAATTGCATTACAGGGAATGGGGCGGAAGAAGCGGGATACGGATGATGAGGTATTTATATGTTTGGTTAAACCTATGGAATTGAGGCTTATTAAGCTTAGGTTTACCGTCAGGCTTATGACTAGGCTTGGGTTTAGGCTTAGGTTAAGCTTAGGCTAGCTTAGGCTTAGCTTAGCCGTAGCTTAGGCTTAGCTTAGGCTTAGCTTAGGCTTAGCTTAGGCTTAGCTTAGGCTTAGCTTAGGCTTAGCTTAGGCTTAGCTTAGGCTTAGCTTAGGCTTAGCTTAGGCTTAGCTTAGGCTTAGCTTAGGCTTAGCTTAGGCTTAGCTTAGGCTTAGCTTAGGCTTAGCTTAGGCGTAGCTTAGGCTTAGCTTAGGCTTAGCTTAGGCTTAGCTTAGGCTTAGCTTAGGCTTAGCTTAGGCTTAGCTTAGGCTTAGCTTAGGCGTAGCTTAGGCTTAGCTTAAGCTTAGGTTAGGCTTAGTTTAGGCTTTATAGCAATGTCTTTCTGCTTCAATTTTGACCGCAATAAATTTAATTCCTAGGGCCCACACTCGCTGTCGAAGCGCCAGGTGGATTATCACAAGGTATTTGGGCTTTGACGTAAATTTGACCAATTTTTTAGCTCTCCAAGCGAAGCGATGAGTGCCCGACTTGCGGTTGGTTTGTAAGTGCGCCTAATAAATCCGTGCTGACATTGCCATTTGTAGGGTAACTGGGGCCAGGGGCTGAAGAAGCGCGATACCGAGGACCAGGTGAATTTTTGGGATTGGGCTTAGGCTTAGTCGTAGGCTTAGCTTCTTCTTGGTTTAAGCTTAGCCTTAGGCCTAGCTCTTGGCCCTGTTTGTCAAACGTCCTAAGCCTACTTTCATTCTAGCGCCCGCACTCGTTGTCAAAGCGCCAATCTGATGATCACGAGGTGCGTTTTTGTTGAAAATGACCCTCAAAAGTTACATTACTAGCTCGTGAAACATGAGTTTTTAGCCCTCTTCCGCTCGCTCAAAACGCCAGCTTCACGAGGACAAGGTAGACTTGAAGAGGGCAACCAGCAGAGATCCTTGGGGAAATGGCGAACTTAGCGAATAGCATATTTCGGTTCTGGTTCCCTAGCGGGGGGAGGGTGGTGGTGTAATAGAGGGGAACCAGCAGAGTTTCTTACGGAATTTGAGAAAATGAGAAACTAGCAACCAACAAGGCCTGAAAATCATTTATTTTTTTTAAATTTTTAGGCACCGCACAGGCTCTCCAAGCGTCAGACCGACGTTGAGGTCGATACTGAGGTCAGTCGGGCTTTTTTGCTTTTTAAAAAACTTTTTTGTTAAAAGTAGGCTTTATAATTCTTTTATTTTTATGTAATAAATTATCTAGTTTCTTTTGGCTAGATTTTGTGGATATAAAATTTAGATCTCCAAGCGTTCGAAGCGCCAGGACACCGACGTCAATACTGAGGTCCGTTTGACTTTTCCTTTTTTTACGTAAATTTTTTTTACGTTTTGTGTTTTATTTGTTTGTATTTTTTTATGCAAAAAAATTGCCGAAATCGGGCACTGGCTAGGGAATTTTTCAGGGCTGCACAAATTCAAGGCGTCAGCCAGATGACGAAATTGACGTCAGTTTTACCTTCGTATTTTTAATTTTCATTTTTTATGTAAATAATTGTCGAAAAATAAAACCGGCAAGATCAAAGAAAGTTTTCAGAGCTCCGCGCGTTCGAAGCGCCAGTTTGATACCACCGGAACTGGAAGCGCCGGCCCGTCCCAACCGGTTCGTTTTCTTAGAAAATATTTTTGGGAATATTTTTGAAATTAATAAGCCGTATTTTAAATTATTAAATCTTCAGATTTCCAAGCTCTCGAAATCTCGCGGCGGAAACAAGGGTGGCAAAAAATCCGAAGTAAAAAAACCGCAAGCCTGCGGGTTGCACTGTCGTCCACATTAAGCCCTGTATTCGGTGATCGAATAAAATTAAATTGCCAAAAATTGCCAAACAGAGAGCGGGAGAAAGAGAAAGAAAGAGAGAGAGAGAGAGAGAGAGAGAGAGAGAGAGAGAGAAAGGGAGAGAGTGAGAGAGAATGAGTGAGAGATAGAGAAAGCTGAGAGAGCTAGAGAAAGAGAGAGAGAAAGAGAGAGACAGAGAGAGAGAAAGAGAGAGTGAGTGAGAGAGAGAGAGTGAGAGAGAGAGAGAGAAAAAGAGTGACTGAGAGAGCGAGAGTGAGAGAGACAGACAGAGTCAGACAGGCAGAGAGACAGACAAAGAGAGGCAGGAGACAGAGGGCATAAAGCTCCAATTTTTATTCCATACAACAGATCCATTAGGAATACTTGATGACGACCTTGTCGCGGCCCTGCCAGGCGTACGGCTTGTCGAAACGGAAGGCGCACCGCCCGAGACAAGGGTTGTAGCTGAAAAAGATGGATTTTAAAGGGTTGTGCTTAAGCTTAAGCCTAGCCCACGTCAAGGCCTAAGCCAAAGCTTATGCCTAAGCCTAAAGCTAAGCCGAAGCCTAGGTCTAAGGTATACTCCCCACGATAATGTCAAAGATCCACCAACTTTATGTTTTTGCAGTCCAGATGGCAAATCTTTCCGCCGGTACAATCCGAATTCGTGTAGCAATCCCACCGGGCGAGCGGCTGAAAAAATCGGGGTGGGTTAGCCGAGATTCTTGAGGACGGATCGGAGAGAATCGATAACTTACCCGACAGTATCCTTGACCCCCGGAAAAGGCGATATCGCAAACTTCGCGCGGATTGGCGCATCGCTGCTGACGGCTGCATGGCACATCCGGGATGGCTTTACCCTAGGAAGAATTTTTAAGGATATTTTGCTATTTCTAGGGTTATTTGATACCATTAGTTTGGATCTAGACCTTTCTAGGTCCTGTATTTGATGTTTTTGAGGGTTTTTCTTGCTGGTATAAACATGCTTATACTCACTTTCTCATCAAACCCGCGGTTCAAATGGGAATCGACGCCAAAGACAATCCAGAGCAAGCCGTAGAACGAAATAACGAACAGAACACGTTTCTTCATTTTCGTATAGTTGGGAAGAAATGACTGGTAGGAGAGGGCTGGAGATTTTTGGAATTAATTCTAGACTTTCTGGAGCTAAAATGCACTCTGAATTATAATTACGGCCGTTCCCAGAATCCCCAGAGTACCTCTGCTAGCATGCCTCTAATTCTTGTTCGACTTCTCGTAAAGAATCTTTTATTCCTTAATTATTTCGGCACACAAACACCAAGTCCATATTTCTTCTGCTCCTCCTTGTACGGTCCGTTGACGCACACTTTTTTCACGCCACAGTCCGTGTCTTTTCCGCAGCGATTGTCTTGCAGGAGCTTCTGAAAACCTGGTTCTTACTGTATTTTGCTCATTACTGTATCACATTTTAGTACTATTGTATATTACTGGAGTTTTTGCATCCCTTTAAAGGGGCCAAGACAGTGGATCATGCCTAATCTACGATTGACAAAAAGCCAACCGATTACGCTATGCAAAAGCGGATTAGAGAGTGGCAGTCCTAAGGAAAGAGCGTTCAGAGCCGCTTTCCGCCGCCTCCCGATTTTCTTGATTTACATGAACTGTCCTTATCCCTTTAGTTTCAAACGAAACCTGCCTCGCAAGTGCGACATTTGACTCCGGAGCAGTACTGGAGAATCGGGCAATCCTCGTTGTGTTGGCAGTCTTGGGAGCACTGGAATGGAGAGGGATGGGAGCGGATCCTACATAATCCTCGGTGCTAGCTAACCATTTACCTATTTCCCAAAAAATCTCTGCTAACCTGCCCTCTTCTAAAGAATTTCTGCTAGCCTGCCCCTTCCTAAAGAATCTCTGCTAGCCTGCCCCTTTCCCCAAGGAATCTCTGCTAGCCTGCCCCTTCCTAAAGAATCTCTGCTAGCCTGCCCCTTTCTAAAGAATCTCTGCTTGCCTGCCCCTTTCCAAAAGAATCTCTGCTAGCCTGCCTTTTCTTAAACAATTTCTGCTAGCCTGCCCTTTCCTAAAGAATCTCTGCCAGCCTGCCCCCTACCTGATCAGCAACCACGGCAACGGTGAACAATGCGGCAAAGATCAGCACTTTCATTTTTGGTTTTTCGATAAAAAATTTTGGGGAAAAATGTCTGAAAGTTTGGTTTTGTGCGGAGCACCTGATGCATTATGCATGGAAATATATTTATTATGGGTTTCGGCATCGGAAATTGCGATTTTCTGAAAAAAGCCTGCTGGACTTTGATCTCAGAGTCGAAGGGACGGTAGCTAAAAAAGCTACAGAAAATTACGGGCAGGTTAGCAGAGATTTTTGCGAATATCGATTGCTCGAAGACTCGAGATGGAGGCTAACTAGCGGGGATTCTTGAAGAAAATAGATTTGATGTCTCGGGCTTTGGCTTTTGCCGCCAGTTTCGGTCAGATTTTAAGTGATTTTGGGCAAGAATAGGCATCTTGCAGGGACACTTTGCGGAAAGTTTGCAGAAAAAGAACAATTTATATGATCAAGCAAAATTCAGTGATTTATTTCCGTTCACAGAGCCCCTGGCCGGCCAGCGTCGGCCGTTCGGGGCCATCTACGCATCGCTCTCCGGCACCGCAGTCCGAATTCTTGCCGCAGCGCTTCGCATTAAGAGGCTGGAATTAAAAAAAATTATAGCTAGCTTCAATTTGAAGATTAAATTTGTTAAACAAAATTAAAAAAATGCCCCACCGCACACTTCTTACAGCCATGTATCGAACTGCAAAATAGAGACGGCGGGCAGTCGGCATTCAAGCGGCATTTGTCTTGGCACTGAAAAATTATAGGAACGCGACACGCAACGCACACCCCCGAAATCCCATAGCTAAATGCTACAAACTACAAAATGCCGAAAAACGGCTTTCTGTAAGCCAGACTACAAATTACAAAATCCCGAGAAATCCCGAAGATCGGGCTTTTTCACCCGATGTCGGGGTTTCCTCAAAATCGGGATTTTTTTGTAGTTTAGACTACAAATTGGGTCAAACTACGTAACATGTTAAAAACAACCTTTCTTTTTGCCAAACTACTACTAAGAATCGGGAAAAAATGCCAAAAAACGCGATTTTTCAGCCGTGTCGGGATTTCCCCCAAATTGGGGTCTTTCCAATTTAAATTAAAACTACAAAATGCCGAAAAATGCCGCCATGGCGGTAGGATTTCTAGAAACCGTACCCCGGCATCGCAAATCGCCACGAGCAGCAGGAGGAGCAGAAAATAGCGCATATTTATTGGCAAATTCGGGGTCGCCCGCCCCGTTTTATAGCACACGGCCATGATTTTTAATGTATACAACAACGTCAAATATAGTTTATTGCAATGTTATGATGCAAATCGTGCCTTTCTCTGTTTCCTCAAAGAACTCTGCTAACTGGCCCTTTATTTCACGCTGTTAACGATTGATTTATCCAGGCTTGGCGCACCTCAAGTTTGGGCGTCTCGTCTCCGGCTCACAAACGCCGCTCGTTCTGCAAGCAAATTTTCTATGCTCATCTAAGAAGAATTTTGGTATTTTTGCGAAGCTTGGCTTAGGCTTGGGCTTAGCTTAGTTAGACTTATGCTTACGCTTAGCTTGGGCTTCGCTTAGGCTTTGGCTTCGGCTTAGGCTTCGCATAGGCTCAGGCTCGGGCTTAGGTTTAGACCTAGACTTAGGCTTAGGCTTAGGCGTAGCCTAGGTTTAGACTTCGACTTAGGCTTAAGCTGCATAGAATTTTTAACAGAAGTTAGCTGCATCTTAAGTGGAAAAACCCTCTACAAACCCCGCTAAAAACCCAAAAGATGAAAAATTTGGCCAAGATCGGTCTGTGCTGATCGTAAAATAGTTGTTTTTGACAAAATTTGTAATTTGGTTACTTGGATTTAATTTGGTTACCAAGCAAAAGCCGCCCACCGCCGATAACCCAAAAGCACCCGTTTAAAAAAAGCACATACTTGGTCCTTCCGCAGCAATAGTTGCCACTGCCGCAGTCGTTCGAGCCGTTGCGGCAGACTTTTTTGGGCGGGGCACCGCTTTTCAGCTGACGGGGGCCACCCTGGAAACGGGCAGGCTAGCAGAGATAATTGAGGAAAGGGCAGGCTAGCAGAGATTCTTTAGGAAAGGGCAGGCTAGCAGAGATTCTTTAGGAAAGGGCAGGCTAGCAGAGATCCTTTAGGAAAGGGCAGACTAGCAGAGATTCTCTAGGAAAGGGCAGGCTAGCAGAGATTCTTTAGGAAAGGGCAGGCTAGCGGAGATTCTTTAGGAAAGGGCAGACTAGCAGAGATTCTCTAGGAAAGGGCAGGCTAGCAGAGATTCTTTAGGAAAGGGCAGGCTAGCAGAGATCATTCCCGGAATACTACTTACATCCAGCGCTTTCATCTTCCAACAAGCCGGATCGTATCCACTACGACACGGCCATTGCGGAGTATCGTAGGCCGCAGCCAGGGCCAGGCAAGCCAACAGGTAGACGATCGAGCGCATTTTAAGTAACCCAGGAAGCCGGTAGTTCATTTTATACGGATAGCTACTGAATTGCAAAGCCAAAAAGCATTGACGTTTGTCGCATCGGAGGAAGGGCGTTTTTCTCTTGTTTCCGGTTAGCAGGCATCAGGCAGGCTAGCAGAGAGTCTTTAAGAAAGGGCAGGCTAGCTGAGAGTCTTTAGGAAAGGGCAGGCTAGCAGAGATTCTTTAAGAAAGGGCAGGCTAGCAGAGATCATTTGCAGGCTAGCCGGAATTGTGTCAAAATTAAAAAGCAGGCTGGAAGAAATTATTTATGAAGTGAGGTGGGCTAGCAGAGATTTTTTGGGGACTTTTCGCGTAACATGACTAATTTATAGACGATTTATTTTGCTTCACAGGATACACTTCAGCTTCTTCCGCTCCGTCTCGCGCTCACAGTAACCGCGATTCCTAAATCGGTATGCTTGTGTATTGAGTACTTCACATCAAGAAGTTAAATATAATCTTATTTTAAACCGTATGATGTTACTTACTTGTCACGTCCGCAACAAAACTTCTTAGCCCCACAGGTGTTCTTGCCGCCGGGACGGCAGAAGTCGCCCTTCAGCTGGCGTCCTTGCTGCTCCCTATGCTGAAAAGAGCGGCAGGTTAGCCAAGATTCTTTCGGAAACGGGAGGCTAGCAGAGATTCTTTAGGAAAAGACAGCCTAACAGGGGTTCTTACGGAAAAGGCAGGCTAGCAGAGATTATTTAGGATTTCACCTACTTGACGGCGACAATCCGGATCCATATGGCAGCCATCTTTGGCTAGCGCGACGGCCAGAAGCAGGCAAAAGGCGAGCAAGAAGGCGAAGGAGCGCATTTTCTTACCAACCTCGAGCTCGAGGACAATTTATAGAAACGTGCATTTGAATTGTTAATGGCAAGGCTTTGAAGATTTACTGGCACCGGTGACCTTTGGCCTTTCGGAACGAAAAACAGGAATCAAAAATTCGCAAAATGGCCTGTGTTTTTTGATCATGAACTTGAGTTCCTAAAGGATCTCTGCTAGCCTGCCTTTTCCTAAAGAATCTCTGCTAGTCTGCCCTTTCCTGATGAATCTCTGCTAGCCTGCCCTTTCCTAAAGAATCTCTGCTAGCCTGCCCTTTCCTGATGAATCTCTGCTAGCTGTATCAGCGACTTTCGAAAAACCATCATACCCTCCTCGGCAAACACTCCCGTTCACTGGTGCATATCGGACGCTTGGCAGTTACTGTAGCTGCGAAAACCATCAGAAAAATACAGAAATAAAGCGGAAATTGCATTTTTCGTCGTGAAAAGGTCTACAACGGTAAAACCAGTGATTTTATACGGAAAAAATGTGCCGTTTCTTTTACAAAATCTGCTCCTTTGAAGAGCCGCCGCCAAAAAGCGTCGGCGCTCTTTTAAAGTGTTTTTTTTTGTATTTTTTGTAATTTTTTCTAAATTTATTAGCGTAAAATAACGATATGATTTATTTAGAAAAAAATCAAGCTTCTGATTCGTCTATTTGGCAATGGCGAAGGCAAAGCGCTTCTTGCCAACCGGACCGAATTTTTCTGGGTGTCCGCCGTCGCCAGTCGTCAGCTGAAAAGCTCAATGATCTCTGCTAGCCTACCAGAATTTTTACATTGATTGCTATTCCTAAAAGATCTCTGCTAGCATGCCCCAAATCCAAAATCTGCTGTTCAAAGATTCACTGCGGCCTTTCCTTAAAAATCCTGCACGGCCAGCTTCTTTGGGACCAGAATTGGGCCCTGAAAAATCACTGCTAGCCTGCCATTCGATTTCTGAAGATTCTCTGCTAGCCTGCCCCCTCCTTTTATCCCAAATAATCTCTGCTAGCTTGCCCCTTCGATTCCCAAATGATGCCTGCTAGTTCCCCCTCCAATTCTCAAAGCATCCCTGCTAGCCTACCCCCCTTCGATTCCCAAATTATCTCCGCTAGCCTGCCCTCCTCCCTACGATTCCCAAATAATCTCTGCTGGCCTGCCCCACCTGTCCCGGCATACCACAGCTCGGGTCTAACAGGTCGCATTTGGGATCCACCAATCTAGCAGTGACACTGGCGGCCAAGACAGTCAGGAAAAAGCAGAAATAGCTGATGAAACGCATAGTTCTTAGCGGTCAAATTTAATAATGTTAATACCACCATATACCACTCTTTTATACCTTAAAAATTCATGACTTTTCTCAAAAAATTCAGGCCGACTACTCGCCACTCCTTTGGCGGACCACCGCCAAAGCTGTCGGCTCCTTTCTGGCAGTCGATTTTTGAATATATTGGGCATTTTAATAGCAAGTATGACCAGCTTGATGACGCGCGAATTTTTGTGGGGGTTGACAGGCGTGACGAGTACATGACGATCCAAATTTCGAAAAATCTGGCACGGATTTTCATACTTTTTGTTTAATGTCACTGTCCCTTTAAAATCTTTTCTGCCAGGCAGGCTAGCATAGATCATTTGGGAAATCAAAGAGTAGGCTAGCAAATATCATTGCGGATATAGGAGGCAGGCTAGCAGAGACCATTTGAGGGCTTAACGAAATTATGAGATTTTCCGCTTTTAACCTCTCACAAATGGAAAATCGATCTAAAGCATCAAACATTACTTTTGGAATAGAAATTAAATTGAATTTTCCGTAGGATTTCTATATCAAAATATATGGCACAAAAAACTTTTGTTACGTTTTCCAAGATTTATTTCCTTTTTACAGCTTTCCGATAAAAAAACAGGATACGTAAAAAAGCCGTAAAATGCAAATTATCGTAGCTGGGGGATATAAGCTGAAAAATCCTCGATTTTTTCTAAAAACGCCAAAAATGCGCTTCTTGATTTCCATGCTGTTCTTTGTGGTGACGATGGCTCAACTTGCCGACGCGTTGGTAGGGTTAGCAGCGATTCTTTAGGAAATGGCAGGCTAGCAGGGATTCTTTAGGAAAAGGCCGGTTAGCAGAGATCATTAGGGAAGCCAAGCTGCCCGTCACCATCACTTTAGAAATACTGCAAAACCCACGGCGACTGCGACCTAGGCCATAAATGCTTCTGGAACACGGAGCTCGACCGGCAGGTTTGCCAGGTGATTTTAGATGAAGATTTTAGAAGATTTTTCATTGGATTTTAGAATCAGTAAACTGGAGCGAGACGGAAAAATTGATGCTTTCAATTTGATTGAAATGGATAAATTCAATGCAAACTATGCAAGCTATCACAGCTCCTCTCTCTCTCTCTCTCTCTCTCTCTCTCTCTCTCATACTCAATATTTTTAATTAATTATCGCAGCCAATACAGTATACTATTTATGCATTCGGATCTGTCTCCAGGCAGTATCCCGGACGTCCCTCGTGGTAGCCAATGCAAGCGGGCTGCTTGTACATCCAACAGTCGGATTCGTCGACGCATTGGAGGACGGGTAATTTCTGAATTAATGGGAGGTTTTTCTAGGCTGCTAACCTGCCCCTTCCTAAAGAAACTCTGCTAGCATGCCCTTTCCTAATGAATCCCTGCTAGCCTGCCCTTTCCTAATGAATCCCTGCTAGCCTGCCCTTTCCTAAAGAATCTCTGCTAGCCTGCCCTTTCCTAAAGAATATCTGCTAGCCTGCCCTTTCCTAAAGAATATCTGCTAGCCTGCCCTTTCCTAAAGAATATCTGCTAGCCTGCCCTTTCCTAATGAATCCCTGCTAGCCTGCCCTTTCCTAAAGAATATCTGCTAGCCTGCCCTTTCCTAATGAATCCCTGCTAGCCTGCCCTTTCCTAAAGAATCTCTGCTAGCCTGCCCTTTCCTAAAGAATATCTGCTAGCCTTCCCTTTCCTAAAGAATCTCTGCTAGCCTGCCCTTTCCTAAAGAATCTCTGCTAGCCTGCCCTTTCCTAAAGAATATCTGCTAGCCTGCCCTTTCCTAGAGAATCTCTGCTACGTCACACCTACCTTGCAAATTTTCTGCTCGGTTCCCTCGACAGCTTTACAGTGGTAGTGTTTTCCCTCGTACCACCCTCCTCGGCAGTAGTCGTCAAAATGGCAGAACTAGATTTAGGTATGTCCGCTTTTATATTGCTTAAATTGCTTAAATTATACCGGATTTGGCAGGGCTGCGACTACGGTAAGGCAAATGGGGAATAGAAATGGCAGCTTCATGCTTGAAAAGGATTCCGTATAGTTTTCTCAAAGTTTCCTGAGTTTTCTAGTCGTTGCCACTTCATTTTGCAAACACGAGATCAAGCACAAGGAGGTTGTGGTGATTTTGAGCTGGAGTTCTCAAGTCGATCTATTCTCTCTCACGCTCTCTCTGACTCTCTCTCTCTCTCTCTCTCTCGCTCACTCCCCCTCTCTCTCAAGGCTCCATAGCTAATTTTATCCACGACATATTTATCAGTAGCTGCTGAATGATTTGCACTTTCCGGGATGTCCCTGCAAATAGCCGTCACATTCGCCGGCGACCTTTACGGCGCAGTCGCCGTCTCTCAGGCATTGACGATCGGGTAGCAGCCTCTTAAAATAAATCATTAGGCTGGTGCTTTGGCTTAGGCTTCGACTTGGGCTTAGGCTTAGGTTTAATTTAGTTATCAAATACTTCAAATCATAAACCCACAACACAGCTGCCCGGGTATCTCTCCGGCATGTATTTGCAAAAGTATTCGGGTCCGTGCAGCTCCCAGCAATTCGTGTCGTTCAGGCAGATCAGAAACAGCGACATGATTTTTCTTTCTCTCTCGCTCTCTCTCTCTCTCTCTCTCTCGCTCTCTCTCTCACCATCCCTCTCTTTCGGTCTCTTTCTCGCCGTCTCTCTCATGCAAGCTACACTTTAAAACTTACCATAAAATCCGGGACCTGAGCAGCGTTGAGGCCGATGAAGAGCAAGATGAGGCCGAGCGGTCTCATCTTGGAAATTGCGCCATTTTGAATTGGGTTCGTTGATTTAAAGACGCTGCTACTCGATTTTCCATCAAAAGGCAATGGTTTGACGCCTTTGCTTTGGCGGTGTTGAAAATTATGCAACAGACGTAGGACCTGGGCGTCTGGTGGAAGATTGCCGCGCGCGCTTTCCCTCTCTCTCTCTCTCTCTCTCTCTCTCTCTCTCTCTCTCTCTCTCCACTTCTTCTCTCTTGCTCTCTCTCTCTCTCTCTCCCGACTTTGGCTGTGCTTCGTCTGAGAAAATTGGATGCTTTTTAAGAACCCTTCCCTGTCATCATCCCTTTAAAATATAGGAAAAGGCGCTTCATCGGCCAAGTTTATTCCTTATGCGTCGCCTCTGTTATGATATAGACAATCGCCGGGACGTCCTTCTTTATATCCCCAACAGATCCCTCGCGGTGGGTTGCAAACATCGTCCGTCAGGCATTCAGTTTTCTTTAGCTTCTAAAATCGGTTTGTTCTCTCCCTCTCTCTCTCTCTCTCTCTCTCTCTCTCTCTCGCTCTCGTTCCTCTTTTTCTTCCTTTCTCTCTCGCGCTTTTTTCTTTCTTACGCTCGTTCGCTCCCTCGCTTGCTCGCTCTCTCTCACTCTCAGTCTCTCTCTCTCTCTGTCTCTCTCTCCCACTCTCAAAATTAAAAAATCCGACCTCACATGTCTTCGGAGATTTCGACGCGGAGTTCAAACAATAGTACGCTGACCCAAGCGTCTCCTGGCAAGTGGCGTCGTTCTCGCACACCTGTAGGTTAGCGTACATCGTATTTTGGATATATTCTTGATCTGATGCCATGAAAACAAACCGATCCGGCCGCCTCATCAGCCGAAGCCAGACACATGAAGAGCACGACCAGGAGCAGCGACTTCATGCTTGAAATTCTGAAACCTTCGTCCGTTTGCAGGCTGTTCTAGGCAGTACCGTTGATTTTTAAGTCGGAAAATGTAGATGCGGCTGTTTTTCAAGGCAAAACTTATGCGGCAACGATCGAAGGAGTGGTGTTTGGTCTTGGATTCACTTTTTTACATCGTCCTCTATCGCTCTTTATCTCTTTCTCTCTCACTCTCTCTCTCTCTCTCTCCCCTCTATCTGTCTCTGTCCCTTTCTCTCTATCTCTCTCACTCTGTATTTCCCTCGACTGTGGTCTAGACGTAAACTGAAGCTTCGAATTTATTCTTAGAAGGCGCAGTAGCCAGGGAGCCCTTCGGAGTATCCCTGACATCCGCCCTTCCTGAGCTCGCCGCAGTCAACGGCCGTGATGCACTCATCTGCCAACAGCTTCTAAAAGTCCAGATCTGCGTAGCTTTCTCTCTATCGCTTCTCGCACACTCTCCCTCTCTCTCTATCTATCCCTCTCTCACTCTCACTCTCACTCTCCGTGTCTCTATAATCGTGTAATTTCTGGGTCATACCTCGCACCGACTCCCATAAGGATTTTTTGGCAGAAAGTGGTGACAATAGTACCCTGGCCCGTTTCTCTCTATACAAGAGGTGTCAGTTACGCAAACCTGAAAACGGTATCGTCTACCTCGCAGCAAAAGTCTCTACGGAACTACGCAGGTTCAACGTACAGTGTTGTGTCTGGGCGGTAGTAGCATAGCGGAGCAGAGGTTCACGGCTAGAAAGATTAAAAAACCCGAATTCATAGTGCAAATTCTCACGTGATGAGATGTGCAAGGGCTTTTCAAAGCGGTACTGCTTCATCTTGCAGGCAGAACCCTCGGCCGTTGATGTTTTCAAGGCAAAAATCTTGTTCTTTTCTCTTTCGCTCTCCCTATCTCTCTCACTCTCTCGCTCTCTCTGGCTCTCTCTCTTTCTCTCTCCACTCTCTCTGCCTCTTTCCCCCTCTCTCTTGCTGCTTTCCACATAGCACTGCTGTCACCATCCTTTTAAAATGTCCAAAAGACGTAGCCGAAAGAGCATTTATTGCCAGAATATTTATATCAACGATACTTGGTAAGGCAATCCCCCAGACGCCCTTCGGTGGGTTTATTGCATTTTACTAGCGAAAGCTTCCAGCAATCATAGTCATCCACGCATTTCCGTTCCGGCACCTTCTGAAACGAGGATCTACGTTGTATCCGCTCTTTCCCTCGCTTTCACTCTCTCACGCTCTCTCTTTCTCTCCTTTTAACAACCCTAAAACCCCACCTCACACCGTCTGTTGAACGGGGAATCCGGCTGGAAAGTGGCGCAATAGTGCCCGGGCCCATGGTCGCGCCTGCAAAACGCGTCGTCCTTGCACCACTAAAACCACATTAAATCGATGTAGTAAAAATACAGGTAAACGTACCCATTCTGGCATCTGCAATCCCATGGCCCAGGCGCAGCCTGCGAGGAGCAGCAGCAGGAGAACCGACTTTCTACTTGAAATTCTGAGGCTTCAGTCAGTGTTGCTGCCTTTTCAACGCGATACTACTTGATTTTGCAGGCAGTAGAATACTTTGGCGATGCTGTTTTTATATGGAAAAAATATGCCGAAATTTTTCGGGGTGTTTCCCGACCTGTTACTGCCGTTCCAGTAGCAATTCATGAAGCCCAAAGCAGGGACCAACCTCTGAACCTCGCTCTCTTCCACTTACTCACTCACTCTCTCACTCCCTCTTTCTCTCTCTCTCTCTCGCTCTCTCTCTCTCTCCATCATTCTCTCTCCAGCTCTCGCTCTTTTCTTCTCATGCCTTTTCTCTATTTTCCAAATCCCTGTCGTATGCCTTCAAAATGCCAAAAATTCACTGCATATAGGTTTATTTTTCAAATCGTCGATTCGAAAAGGAAAGAATCGTTTGCATTTTCCAGGCCGCCCCTCCTCATATCCCTCGCATTCTCCTTTCCCCACAATGCCACAATCATCGTCCCTGATACATTCATTTTTCCGTAGTTTCTGAAAAACTAGGATGTAAGGCAGAAATGCAGCATTGCTGGAATAAGAATTACAATTCAATTGAAAATTGAAAAAATGCAAAATAACAGATAAAAACCAACCCGGCAGTATCCATCTGAAAGTAGGGTGATGTGGTGGCAATATCTATCAGGGCCAAACCGCTCCCGACAAACTGAATCCTCCTCGCACTGAAAGGATGCGGATGGACGAAGGAGAGAGAGAGAGCGGGAGCGAGAGAGAAAGAGAGAGAGAGAGAGAGAGAGAGAGAGAGATTTACCGTCAGATATGTCGGCCTTGGCCTCAGATCGGCAGACGAGAAACCGACGACGGCAAGGAGCAGCAGCAAGAGAGGCGACTTCATGCTTCGAAATCTGAGGTTCCATCGTTTTTACAAGCTTTTCAAGGCGCTGCTGCTTCATTTTGCAAGCAAAACCTTTACTGTTTTTCAATGCGAAAATCTTGCACGAAAAGTCTAGGCAACGTTGCGCAAATGCTCTCTCGCTCTCTCTCGCTCTCACTCTCTCTCTGTCTGTCTCTCTCGCCCTCTCGCTCTCTCCCTTTCTCTCGCTCTTGCTCGCTCTCTCTCTCGCTCTCTCCCTTTCTCTCGCTCTTGCTCGCTCTCTCTCTCTCTCGCTGTCTCTCATAGAAGATTTCTCAAGATGATGAAAACCAAAATCTGTGTGAAAATAATCAAAACATTTTTATTCGGCCATTCTTCCAATCAGAGGGTGCCGACTCTGCAGTTGCCCGGCAAGCCCTCCTTATATCCCACGCATTTTGCGTTCTTTTCATTGCCACAGTTGGCGTTGGTGACACATTTATTCAGCGGGAGCGGCTAAAGGTATTCATTAAATTTGGGAGCTAGTCGGGTCTGGTTGTCCTGGACCTAACTAGCTCCAAAATCATTGTAATATCTGTTGTTCAAAGTTGCTGAACGCACCTGGCACCATTGGGACTTGTCGGGGTAGGCCTGGCAATAGTAATCCTTGCTGCGAAACTCCTGGCATATGGCGTCCCTGACGCAATTCTAAAGGTGAATCTGTAAGCGAGAGAGACGCAGAGAGAGATCGAGAGAGAAAGAGCGAGAGAGAGAGAGAGAGTGAGAAAAGCAAAGGACTCTCTTACAGCTCTTCAAAAAAGCCGCCAAAAATTACCGATATTATTGGCGGACCAGCTGACGTGAGGCTCACGACGAGGAGCAGCAGCAGGAGAACCAACTTCATCCTTGAACTTCTGAAGCTTCAGTGACGATAACAGGATTTTCAAGGTTCTCCTGCTTCATTTTTCAAGCAAAACCCTGGGCTAGGGCTGTTTTCAATGCGAAAATCATGCAAGAAAGTCAGGACAACGTGGCGCAACGGATGCTCTCTCTTCTCATCCTCTCTCTCTCTCTCTCTCTCTCTCGCTCTCTCTCTCTCACTCTCTCTTTCTGTTTTTAGTTTTTCTCGCACATAACTTTATTCCATTAATCGCTCTTTGTCAGCCACGAAATACAGGAAGGCAGTATCCAGGGCGTCCATCAGCATAGTCTTGGCATTCCCCAGTTGTTCCCTTCCCACAATGCTCGTCCGAAACGCATTGGCTTTCAAGTAGTTTCTAAAAATTTGTCTCGCTCTCTCTGTCTCTGCCTCTCTTTCTTTCTCTCGCTCTCTCTCACGCTCTTTATCTCTCGCTCTTTATCGCTCGCTCTCCTCCTCCTCGAACTCGAAACGTACCCCGCATCGTCGCCCGCCCGGTTTCCCAATCTGCGGGTTGTAGTGAGTCTGACAGTAGAGGTCAGAACCCTTACTCTGACAATCCGAGTCAACTTGGCAGGTCTGAAAGTTGTACTTTGGACGAGAGAGCGAGAGGGAGACGAAGAAACAGGATCACGCTCACAGCTAGTAACATACCGACACCGCAAGGGGTATTTTTGGCAAAGCAATAGCAGCTGATGAGAGGCCGACAACGAGGAGCAACAGCAGAAAAACCGGCTTCATCTTGGCATTCTGGAGCGTCGAAGATCCTGACAGGCTTTCAACGCCGCGCTGCTTCATTTTGCAGGCGGAACCTGTTCCCTTGGTGCCGTTTCGATGCAAAAATTCTGCAACAACAATTCGAGAACTTGTCGCTGATCTATGTCGCTAAAATCGTCGCATCAAGCTGGCTCTATTTCACGCTCTTTTCTTGCATCTCTCACCCTCTCTCTCTCTCTCTCTCTCTCTCTCTCTGTCTAGCTATGGTTTTCTTCTCTCTCTTTATCTCTCCCCCCTCTCTCTCGCTCTCTCTTTGTCTTTCTCTCTTTCTCTCTCTCACTCTCTCTCGCTCCCTCAATGTGTTATTCTCCTTCACGCGATGCAAAATCATATTTATTCCGTTAATAATAAAGATAGCAATGTCCCCGTTCCAGTTCCTTGGCTCCAATGCAGCGTGCCCCGGGTCCACAATGGCTATCCAGGCTGCATTCGTTGTCTATGAACTCCTGAAATTGAGCTTAGCTTCGGCTGAAGTCAAGCTTAGGCGTCGGCTGAGGTTATCTTGTTTCTCCCTTTAATATTTTCTTTCCTTGAAACCTCACCGCGCAAACCGGACGTGTTGGCTCTAGGGGCATGCAGAAGGAGCGCGGTTTGAAGAAGGTACGGCAGTAGGCGTTGCTCGTACACGGCTGAAAGTCGCTCTCTCAAACTCGTCCTCTCACTCGCTCTCTCTCTCTCTCCCTCTCTCTCTCCGTCTCTCTCTCCGTCTCGCTTTCTCTCTCTCTCTGAATCAAAAACATACAAAGTCACCGGGTCTACCAAGACCCATCGCAGGAACGGAGAAAAGCAGGAAAGTGAAGGCAAGTGCGAGCAGCAGAAATTTCATATTCTTTGAACCTTGCCTTCCGCAACTTGTTGAAGCTTTTAAAGGAGTACCCAATAGATTTTTCAGGCAGGAAATCAGGTGCGACCAAAGGTTAGGGGCAAAATTATTCTCGGTAGATGATCTTTGGCCTGAGAGAGAGCGAGGCGAGAGAGAGAGAGAGAGAGAGAGAGAGAGAGAGAGAGAGCGCGCGCCGGAGGGAGAAACTGAAAACCCGCTGGCATCATTGCTTTAATGTCCTCTACGGGAAGGGTACATGATAATCCGTTTATTCCCAATCATATCTGACATCATCACCACGGCGTCCACCAGCCGCATTTCCCCGGTCGTCCTTCCGAGTATCCCTCGCACACTTTCATCCACCCACAAATTTGGTCGGTCTTGCAGCCGTCGTCGTAGAAGGGCTAAAGCGGAGGTAAAATAGCTGGAGCATATCTCGCGCTCTCTCCCTTGCCCTTTCTCCCACTCTTTCTCACACACGACGCTCTTAATTTTAAATCCTACCATGCACCCCCCATGGATACAGTAGTGAGCATCATCATTCATCCAGTCGTCGCAATCCTTGTCCTGCTGGCACAACTAAAATCTGATTTTAAGACGAGAAAGACAGAGCAAGACAGAGAGAGAGAGAGAGAGAGAGAGACAGAGAGAGAGTGAGGGAGAGAGTGAAAGCGAAACGAGAGTTAGAGAGAGGGCTGCCCTACCTGAACCGTCCCGGCAGCCATAGATACAGTAAGTAGCAGCACCAGCAACAGCGTTCTCATTTCGATAATCCTCTACAATTGCCGGAACGCAAACTCGTCCCTTTTATAGGGAACTGCTGATTCAGAACACTGTGCGAATCATCAGTGCCCTACAATGGGAAAACTAAACCGGAAATGTCCCAATTTCAAAAAGGTTGGACATCCTCGACTTTCTACGTTCGATTCAATGGAAATGCATGGCATTTAACGAACTGAAAAGAACCAAAAAGCAGACGATGGGCGACTAAACAATTTTTTCAAAAATAAATTTATAATGTATAGTGCTACGCTTTTTTCAAGTCTGTAATTATTGTATTTAGTCGGTAATCCTAAAATATAGGCCGGAATACTCGTATTTCGTCGTCATTTATTCGAGAACCTTTATTCAGAGATGCCAAAATACATTTAAAAATTATCATCGAGTTTTTCATAGCTTTATGACCATTGCATATACCCGCAGCTTCCGGGCTGGCGTCCCGAATAGTCGTAGCAGCCCTCGTACCAATTGCAGTCGTAAGAATCCAGGCATTCGCCATCATACAGCAGCTGCAAAAAATGAACACGCATGTTTTTGGAATTTTTGATCGCTAAAAACCATTCAAAATACGATAAAAATTCACGAAAACGCGTAAAATGTTGCTAGTTGGCTCCGCCGCCCCCCCCGCTAGCAATACAGTTCCGCCCCCCCGCCACTTCTGCTAATCATTGCCTACCCGACATTTCTGCTCCGATCCACAGTGCATATGGTAGACATCCTCTCCGTCGGAGCGGCATTCCGTCTCGTGCAGACAGTCCTGAATTTGAGTAAACGGTACGGTGCGCGACGTAGCGTAACGTTATGCAAGCAACGCACTACACGTCGCTACACTACGTTACAATACGCTACAGTAGACGACATGCCGAAACTTGACGCTACTATATGCTGCAATACGCTACGATACGATAGGATACGCTACGCTACGGGACGTCGCGATGCTTTATAATACGCCCGGATAAGCTACAGTACGCGGCAATACGCGACAATACGTTACTATTTGCCACGATCGGCCACGTTGCGCCAATGTACGCTATTGTAGACTACGATACGCTATGTTGCGCCTTTGCCGCCTACACATACGCTGCGATACTGAACGAGGCTACGCAACGTTGCACCTCTGTAAGCTACGCGCACCACGCTGCAACGCTACAATACGATACAATTTGCTAGGATACCAAAACTAACGTCTCCTGGTTGCGGTATCGCGACGGCTACAGTAGCCAAGAGCAGGAGCAGGAAAGCTGACTTCATTCCCGCAATTGGCGGCAATTCGGAATGAAACGGAATTCGCAAATTTTGGAGGGAGGTGTGTTTTTCGTTTTGTGGTTGTTTTTCCGTGTTTTGTCTGTGATTCAGAGCCTTAGTCAGCCGGCTGACCGGTGATTGTGTTCTGTGCAAAAAAAACATAGAGCTTTATCTCTCTCTCTCTTTCTCTCTCTCTCTCTCTCTCTCTCTCTCTCTCTCTCTCTCGGTAGCTCTCTCTCGCTCTCAGGCCGATTTTAATCTTTATTAAGCTTTATTCACCATGGGCGATATTTCAACGAGAAACAGTTTCCGGGCTGGCCTTCAAGATATCCGAAGCACTTATCGCCCGCGACCAGACAGTCCTTATCGTCAACACAGAGGTTATCGGGCAGTGCCTGAAAAATAGTCTCTGCTAACATGCCTTTCTTTCCTAAATGATCTCTGCTAGCCTGCCCTTCGTTTCCCAAATAATCTCTGCTAGCCGACAACCCAATTCCCAAAAGATCTCTGCTAGCCGGCCCTGTCTCTCTCCCTTTAAACCCTACCGTACACACGCTCTTCTTAACATCAACGGCATTCGCCTTACAGTAGTAGTGCTTGCCCTGGTACCACCCGCTCCGGCAGTAGGTGTCGTTCGTACAAGCCCAAAAATGTCGTATTTTCAGAAAACTATGCCGTAAACGTTAATAAATTTTTCTAAATTTTCAAAACTTCAGTTCTTAGACTACGATTTTCCGCAGCAGTGAAATTTCCAATCTTACCGGATTTGGGGCAGAAACGGCAAATCCAAGGAGTACGGTAACAAATAAGAGTACAGGCTTCATTTTTCGGATCTGAAAGGTATTGAATTTTGAGTGGTTTTCGGCGTTATATGCGATCGACTGCTTCATTTTTCATACAGTATTCTGGTCGAAAAGTGATTTTTGGTCTTTTCTGTCTGTCTGTCTGTCTGTCTTCTCTCGCTTTCTCTCGCTCTATCTCTCTCTCCCTTTTTTGCTTCCATTGAATACGCCAATCAATTAATTTTCTAAAATATATTTATTAACATTTAAAGTATCATTTCTCGTAGCATTTTCCAGGGCGTCCCTCTGAATAGTTTTTGCAACGGTTACGCCATGGTGGACAGTCCGTATTATCGACGCAGCGGTCATACGGTAGCTCCTGGAATTATCTGTAGTTTGGGCAGGCTAGTAGAGATCATTTGAGAATCGGCGAGCCAGGCTAGCAGAGATTCTTTAGGAAAGGACAGGCTAGCAGAGGTTCTTTATGAAAGGGTAAGCAAGCAACGATTATTTAGCAAAAACTTACATAGCACAGCTTCCGGAACGAATTATCCTCAAGCCGGACCGGGACACAGTGCAGATGCTGCCCGGCAAACGGTCCGCCCCGGCAGTAGGCGTCATTTGGACACATCTGTACAGGGTGTCTCAGGATTATCCGGACAAACTTTTAGTGCCATTTCTTCCCATTTTTTTTCCTGTTTTATGCGCACACCTTGTAGCTCCTATCAATCTTTGAGGTATTTTCGAGGCACTGGCAAAGAAAATTGCGCGAGATTATGACATATCACTCCGTAAAAAATCGAAGAAGTTGGAACCCAATTTCTTCCATCTGGCAAACGCTCAAAACGCATGCTGTTTCCGACGCTATAAAAAGCTTCAATATAACCGGCATAAACAAGCAACCAGAGGATGAGGTCGGAAATGATAAGTTCATGCTCAGCCCGGCCCAAAAACGCTAGGTCGTCTCTAGGAAAAAATCAACAACAAAAAAAGATGAAATCAAGTCACGCGCCGCCGTATTTACCTTACAAGTTTTAGCCCGGAGGAACCCTAAAAATCCGATAAGATACTTTTCAAAAGATAAAAACATAAATAGCTACAGTAACAATGATGTATAATCAATTTAGGCCAAGTTAACTTTGATTTCTGAAGAGCTTGAGCACCAGCAAGATTTGAGAAACCCTATTCAGCGATGCAAAGGAAATTGATATTTAATTAGAAAATGATCATTGACATGACCAAACCTTGGCGCAAACAGGTCCGTTTTGCCATAAAACGTCATCTCTTGCCCAAAAAAATGTCGGAACACTTTTTGAACCTTTGCCCCAAGTTTTGTGCTATTTAAGAGGCGAAAAATCTTACCGCGTTCGTCGCTTGATTCTGAAGCTATTAATGCGTTTTTGAAAATTTTTTTTTGCTCAGGATATCCAAAACGCCTCAAGAACTCATATGAAATACATTAGGTTGGCAGAAAACAGCGGTAAAAGCGAAAAAAATACTATTTCGTTTTGTCCGGATAATCCTGAGACACCCTGTAATGCCGAAAATTTGGCTACTGGCTGAGATTTTAACCGGTTTTATAATCAGTTTCATTACGATCTATAAGTACTACTGATCATTATGGCGTACCAGATTTGGGCCAGCGACTACAACGCCAATCAGAAAGAGCAGTGACAGGGCACAGTTCATTGCAGCAAATTTCCGTTATGTAGCTGTCTTTGTTTTTAAGGGTATTTATAGTAACCCTCGCCCCTCAATTTCACATGATCAATTCAGCACCCAGAAAATTTGGCATGGAACTGGACGCACATTTGTTCTTTCGCTCTCAGCAACCGCTGGGAAAGCGGGCTTTTGGTTTCTACCAGCCTTTAGAAAACTTGGCTTCTCAATTTTTCTAGTTTTTGAATGAAGCCGGAAAAAGGAGACACACTTAGAAGGACGGCATTCCTCGTTTTGTCCTCCTTTGCACAAAAATCCCGAAAATTCCTAAATTTCCCCGTTTCCATTCCTAAATCAAGGCCTTCGCCGAAAAAAGCAAAATCCGGCTGTTTTCCCGTGGGCGTGAATCGTTCGTTTATTTTGACGGGCCGGCCCGGAGAGTCTGAGAAACTTTCTGTGCCGCGTGATTGGCGTCAGGTTTCAATGGTTTTTTTTGCCTGAAAGCAAAAGATTTGAATAGAAAATGACAAATTCGTGTCCATATTTTTGAATAGGCGGGTGAGACAGACGAAAAACACAGAAAACAATTCCGGAAATTTGTCATTTTCTCGCTCGCTGTCTAACCGGCTGGCTGTCTCTCTCATCTTGACTATCTCTCTCCCTCTCTCTGTCGGTCTGTCGCCCGCTCGCTTTCTCGATCTCGCTCTATCTCTTGCATTCTCTCTCTCGTGCTCTCGCGCTCTCTCGTTCTGTGTCGCTCGATCTCGTTATATCTTTCTGTCTCTCTCTCTTTCTCTCTCTCGCTTTCTCTCTCTCTCCATCTCGCTCTCCCTCTCTCTCTTTCTCATTCTCTCTCTCCCTCTCTCTCTCTCTCTCTCTCTCTCTCTCTCGCTTTCCCAAATTCTGATTCATCACTGCCCATTTGCCTGTATAAAAACCAGCGCCTAGGCGGTTTGTCCAGAAACGCCGCTTTGTACCATGCGCCCGGCTACCGTACTCCACCTCCTCCTTCTCCTTGTCGTCTGCTCTCTCCTGATCTTCCAGTCCCAGGCCAGGAACGCCGGGTATAAGCCAGACTACGGCTACGATGGCATAAAGGATAAAGAGGTAAGTCCGTGCGTGTAGAGGTGTTGGTATTTTTGCATTATCGGGGGGAACGTTTTTGCTTGGAACCCATTTTTCAAATACACCTAGCGGAAGTGTTTCTAAATGGTTCTTGCTATGCCAAAACGCAAAAACTTTACAAATTTTAATCAAAAAAATCAAAAATCTAGATTTTCTCGCAGAAGGGCCAATTTTCTTAAACAAAATTTCGATTCTATACTATCATAACACGTCCTATGAATTTCTAGGCAGTTTTAGACTTGTACAAAAAATCTCAAAATCCCCCCGTTAAGCAACTTTTACCGCCTTGCTTCGCCCTTGAAAAATATGCCTAAAAACCAACAGAACATACGCTATTTCAGCTGACCAACTGCACCCACAAACGAGATTGTTGGATGTACGAAACCTGTCTGTATGGATGGTGCGTGATCCGCTAAGCAAACCCCTTCGACCTTGTCCAAATCTTCTTAATAATTCTGTGCTCAATGAAATGAACATGTTTTTGTCAATAAAGTCTTTATTTCTGGATTCGATCAGTTAATCGGCAGGCTTGGGCTTAGGCCTAGCTAAGGATTAGCTTAGGTTTAGGTTTTGGCTTAGGCTCTCGCTTAGGAATAGACCTGGGCCTAGGCTTAGGCTCGGATTGGGTTAAGCTTAGGATTAGGATTAGGCTTAGCTTAGCTTAAGCTTAGGCTTAGGTTTAGGCTTAGGTTTAAGCCAGGAACACATGTCTTTCAAAATATTTATTTTCTGATTTTCTCCTCATGGATTTCGCGCTTCCCGACATGGCGGTCGTGCCGTTTTCCAATATGGTGCTCCCCATCACTGAAATCATAGAGTCTGAGCGAGAGAAAGGGAAAGGGAGATGCAGATATAGAGATAGAGCGAGAGAGAGAGAGAGAGAACGAGGAGAGAAAAACTCACGTGGGTGCAGAGCGCTTGTGCATCCAATCCTTGCAGACGTGGTTCTTGAGGTCACAGTAATCCCACATGCAGTCGCCGTCTCTATTGCATGCATGTCTGGAATTGGATCTCTCTCGCGCTCACTCTCTCCCCCTCTTGCGCTCTCTCTCTCTCGTGCTAAAGCAAAACCTAAACCTCAACCTCGTTACCGTACCCCATTGCCAACGAGAAGAGCCCACAAAGCAGTAACCACCCGAAAATCGCCTTCATCGTGTTGGGAGAGAGGATCAGGAAAAGGAGTCTTTCAACTCGCATCCTTTCCATTATTCATTGCCTGGTGGTCAGCAGTGCTTTGTCGGAAACACCATGAAACTAGGAATCTTCGATTTATTGATTCAAATTCACTTTTCAAAGGTCTTTTGAAATACCGCTCTACGATTGTTAAGAGAGAGGCGGAGTAAGCGAGAGAGAGCGCGAGAGAACGAGAGAAAACGACAGAGAGAGCGAGAGAGAAAGAGATAGAGACAGAGAGATAGAGAAGATTTTTCTGCGCCTTATCAGCTCCACAACACGATTTATTTGCAAGACGTTCAAGGCTCGAGGTGTCCACAGTAACCAGCCCCCGCCCCAATCTTGATGCAGGTGAAGGGAGGGTCAATCCAAATCCCGGCACAGTCGGCGTCGGTCTGGCAAGAAAGCTAAAAAGTGTAGATCGTAGTTTCAGGTCGAAGGCAGGCAAAACTACCGCGGAGCAAATCTCGACCGCCATCGCGACGATAAGAAGAATGAGGAGGAAGAAGCGCATTTTGGACAGCTTTGCCTGATCTGGAGTTATATAGCCAAAATCCCGCAGCGCGGACCGATTTTTTTGGTCGTTGTATACTTGAGTTTGTTGAATACCCGATCTGCGAAAAATGAATACCGATGAATCTGTTGAATAGCCGAGCCGATCCAATTTCTCGCTGTCTGTCGCTCTCTCTCACTCTCTCTCTCTCTCTCGCTCTCGCTCTCTCTCTCTAGCTACTCTTCGTGAGCTTAGATAAACCGATTACGACATTTTATTCCATCATCAAACTCAAGGTTTCAACTTCAACGTCGTGACGTCTCGAACGCAGCTGTGATGCCCGACTCTGGTATCCCGGATACACTTCGAATACGGCTCTGGGCAGTCAGCATCCGACTGGCAATCACCACCCTTGGAGACTTTGTTCTAAAAGAGAATTTAGATTTCGAGCTTCGGCTTCGGCTCGGCTGACGCTTAATCCATAGGCTTAGTTGAGGCTTGGTCCTAGGCTTAGGATTAGTTGAGGTTTAGCCATAGGTTCTGGCATAAGCTTAGAGAGGCTTAGGGCTTAGGGGCTTAGGCTTAGGCTCTAGGCTTAGGCTTAGGCTTAGGCTTAAGCTTAGGCTTAGGCTTAGGCCTAGGCATAGGGTTAAGCTTAGGCTTAGGCTTAGGCTTAGGCTTAGGCTTAGGCTTAGGCTTAGTTGAGGTGTAGCCATAGGCTCCGGCATAAGCTTAGGCGAGGCTTAGGCTTGGGCCTAGACCTCGGCTTAGGCTTTGGCGACGGTTAGGCATAGGCTTAGGCGGTGGGTTAAAAGCTGAGGTATATGCATGGTACGCCGTATTATACACTTTTAGGATCTGAAGGCACATATTCCGTTTCCGGCATACTATTAACTCACCAAATCGGTATGCCAATCATCTTGGAGACAATGGTGGACCCCCATCCAATTCCAAATGTCGCAATGCTGGCCTGGCGGGCAATCAGCATCGGAGCGGCATGATCCCGTCAAAAATGCGATTATAACGGGGGAGTATTACCATGTATGCCGACACTGCCGGGAATGCAAGCAGGAAGAGGAGCACGAGATGCATTTTGGATACCAGCCGGCAGTCAAAACTGGGATTTTTATATAAGCAGTACCTACATAGCTGGGCCGATTTTTTGGTCGTTGAATAGTCAAAAAGGTTTAGAATTCTGTTTCTCGCTCTCTCTCTCTCTCTCTCTCTCTCTCTCTCTCTCTGGCTCTATCGTTTTTATAGGTGAATTTATTATATCAAAACTGATCACGACATTTAATTTTTCTATCTCAGTCCCTAACTCTCTCTCTCTCTCTCTCTCTCTCTCTCTCTCTCTCTCTCTCTGTCTCTCTCTCACTGTTTTTTCACTCTCCTCTCTCTCACGCTCTCGCGCTGTTTTTCTCGTGAACAGAATCATCTTTCATACTTTATTGCCATCTTTTCGCCCTTTATCCCGGTCTCGGGTACCAATTCCGTTGGCAATGCCCGGTCCCGACACCTCGCTTTACGCAGCTGAAACCTGGCGGCACAAGCGTCCTGGGGCAGTCAGCGTCCACATTGCATCGTGGGCCCGGGCCACTGGGGGCCACCTGGAAATAGGCTTAAAATTAGTGCGCCCTATTATTCAGAGAGAGAGAGAGGGACAGAGAAAGACAAAGAGAGAGAGAGGAGAGAGAGAGAGAGAGAGAAAGAGAGGGAGAGAGAGAGAGCCAGCGAGACCTACCCCTTTCCCGCCATGTCCACCACCACCATAAAACCCGAAAACTGACGGCAAAATCAGCAACAGGCACACGAAGAAACGCATTTTTTGGCGTGTTTCCGGAAACTGCATTTTTATACCTTTTCCCTACTCCCTGCCAGATCCTTGATCGATGCGAAATATTGGTCTGGTTGGAACCCTTTTCGGGAAGTTTTCGAAATCTATGATTTTGGCCTACTCTCGCTGCCTCCCACTCTCTCGCTTTTTCAAAAATATTTTGAGCATATTCCGTCCCAGTTTTGTATGAAAAAACAAAACCTGTTATATAGACAGTACCTCGCGTCGACCACTTTTCTGATCGCTGAATAATCAACAAGGTTTGGAAGTCGAGAAACACTCTAGTTCCGGTTTTCACTCCTCTCTCCTCTCTCTATCGCTCTCTCTCGCTGGTTTTTTGTCTGGACATACTTTATTATCGTGATTCCTCCCGGTCACGGATACCAATTCTGTTTGCATTTTCCG